TTAATCAAACATTTCCTGTATAATACATTCAGACTTAAATGTTATCTGTTTAAAATTGAGAAAATTTAAAGTTACTGCACGATTTGCATTTTTTACAAAAACATCAAATTTCTCACAGCTTAGTCAATGCTAATATGTGCTCAGATTGATTATTAAACATATAATTATGAAAAAGAAATCAAAATATCAACTCAAGATTAAAATCTTCCGGCTTGGATTCAATCGGATTAAATATATGCCTATCAATTAGATGTCGCGAAACAAAAATGGCAGTGGGCTTGTTATATGGGAAAATCTTGACATCACAATACCTGTCATCCACTCTCAAGCATGTCTCTGTCACAGAAGCTATACAAAAGCAGGGTATGTATATATAGTAGACTTAAAGCCCCAACATGACCGAACCCATGTTATATATAGAGTTTAAAGAATGGAATTGAATGGAGTTTTAATGTCTCGTCTATACAATATTTTTGTCGAGCAATTAGTCAATTTTATTTCTATGGTTACATGTGCAATGCAAAATGGGCCAATTATCCCCTGAAAGTGTTTTTTCCACCTACTGATCTCTGATTTATTTTATGTGTACACCAGTGTGTACAGTGGTGGACCTCAGCTTTTGGTACCATCCAAACAACTAGGCACACTTTTCTTAGTCTTGCATGTGCCACCCCTCCTGAAACGTGAAAGCCGCCCTTGAAAAATTTCCTGCAGGTTCTTTTTGGGTCATGCTGTGATGCGAACCAGGACTAGGTGAGAGTCCAGTCCCTAACTATTTGACGACCAGGTTTCAAGAATAACATATGGTTATTTTCATTTCAATGTTTACATACATGCAGTGTGATAGGTGAATTCTGGCCAGACAACTGCATTTATACTTGCTCTTCTTAAAATTTCAACTACCACAGGTTCTTTCAACTGCTCTCCAATGTACTTAAGTTTGTTTTCTTTTAAAGTTTACATTGGTGTCTACCATTTTCAAACTGCCATCTTTATGAAACAAGCCCACTGTAAATAAACATCTTTCTATACACACGGATTATACTCAGATGTGCTTCCTTTACACCCTAAGGATGGCTGAGTTCGAATTTTGTGAAAATCGGCCCGAAATTGACAGACAAAATGGCCGTCGTTCGTTCTCAAATAGCGTAAAAATATGGTATATCAAGGTTGTGGACACAATAGAGGTCACAATTTTTATCCGATTTTGTTGAAACTTGAAATCTAAGTTGATAATCCAAAGATCTCGGTTCCTTTCGATATTTGCGCATATCGGCCCGTAACTTCCTGAATTATGGCCCCTGATTGTACCAAAAATCGTGTTTTTAGCTTGTGGACCCTATAGAGGTCATAATTTTTATCCGATTTAAAAAACCGTTCAATTATATCACCGTTACACCCTAAGGATGGCAGAGTTAAAAATTCGTGAAAATCGGCCCAAAATTGACAGACAAAATGGCCGCCGTTCGTTCTCAAATAGCGTAAAAGTATGGTATATCAATTTTTATCCGATTTTGTTGAAACTTGAAATGTAAGTTTATAACCCAAAGATCTTGGTTCCTTTCGATATTCGCGCATATCGGACCGTAACTTCCTGAATTATGGCCCATGATTGTACCAAAAATCGCGTTTTTAGCTTTTGGACCCTATAGAGGTCATAATTTTTTGTCCAATTTAAAAAAATGTATTATTGTATCACCGTTACACACTAAGGATGGCTGAGTTCGAATTTCGTGAAAATCGGCCCAAAATTGACAGACAAAATGGCCGCCGTTCGTTCTCAAATAGCGTAAAAGTATGGTATATCAAGGTTGTGGACACTATAGAGGTCACAATTTTTATCCGATTTTCTAAAAATTGAAATGTAAGTTTACAAACCAAAGATCTTGGTTCCTTTCGATATTTGCGCATATCGGGCCGTAACTTCCTGAATTATGGCTCCTGATTGTACGAAAAATCGCGTTTTTAGCTTGTGCACCCTATAGAGGTCATAATTTTTATCCGATTTAAAAAAAACGTATTATTATATCACCGCTACACCCTAAGGACGGCTGAGTTCGAATTTCGTGAAAATCGACCCAAAATTGACAGACAAAATGGCCGCCGTTCGTTCTCAAATAGCGTAAAAGTATGGTATATCAAGGTTGTGGACAATATAGAGGTCACAATTTTTATCCGATTTTGTTGAAACTTGAAATGTAAGTTTATAACCCAAAGATCTTGGTTCCTTTCGATATTCGCGCATATCGGACCGTAACTTCCTGAATTATGGCCCCTGATTGTACCAAAAATCGCGTTTTTAGCTTTTGGACCCTATAGAGGTCATAATTTTTTGTCCAATTTAAAAAAATGTATTTTTGTATCACCGTTACACACTAAGGATGGCTGAGTTCGAATTTCGTGAAAATCGGCCCAAAATTGACAGACAAAATGGCCGCCGTTCGTTCTCAAATAGCGTAAAAGTATGGTATATCAAGGTTGTGGACACTATAGAGGTCACAATTTTTATCCGATTTTCTAAAAATTGAAATGTAAGTTTACAAACCAAAGATCTTGGTTCCTTTCGATATTTGCGCATATCGGGCCGTAACTTCCTGAATTATGGCTCCTGATTGTACGAAAAATCGCGTTTTTAGCTTGTGCACCCTATAGAGGTCATAATTTTTATCCGATTTAAAAAAAACGTATTATTATATCACCGCTACACCCTAAGGACGGCTGAGTTCGAATTTCGTGAAAATCGACCCAAAATTGACAGACAAAATGGCCGCCGTTCATTCTCAAATAGCGTAAAAATATGGTATATCAAGGTTGTGGACACTATAGAGGTCACAATTTTTATCCGATTTTGTTGAAACTTGAAATGTAAGTTTATAACCCAAAGATTTCGGTTCCTTTCGATATTTGCGCATACCGGACCTTAACTTCCTGAATTATGGCCCCTGATTGTACGAAAAATCGCGTTTTTAGCTTGTGGACCCTATAGAGGTTATAATTTTTATCAGATTTAAAAAAACGTTTTATTATATCACCGTTACACCCTAAGGACGACTGAGTTCGAATTTCGTGAAGATTGGCCCAAAAATGACAGACAAAATGGCTGCCGTTCTTTCTCAAATAGCGTAAAAATATGGTATATCAAGGTTGTGGACCCTATAGAGGTCACAATTTTTATCCGATTTTGTTGAAACTTGAAATGTAAGTTTATAACCCAAAGATCTAGGTTCATTTCGATATTCACGCATATCGAATTGTAATTTCCTGAATTATGGCCCTTGATTGTAGGAAAAATCACTTTCTTGTTAGCTTGTTCTCTATCCATCTCTCGAAAATGTGGGCGTATCCTGCCTGGCAGCCGCTGGTTGATGATATTGAGTTAAAGACTTAGCTACTTTAATACTACTTGTTTGGTTTTTATCTTGCGTGACATATTAATACTATTGATTACATTATTTTATTAATATGTCCACCTAATTACTAAAGATCTTCATTGATTTTATGTGATAATCTATACCATCAATAACAAATGGTGTGTCAGTCTATGAGCAACCCAGTGTAAATAATTATTAATATTAGTGCAATATATAATACTGCACCAGTGTACACAGCAAAAAGTCATCACAAAAATACTGCAGTTTGTTTATGATGTTTCTTTTACTTGTACAATTTCTGCTATAAATTTCTTTAAAAGTAGCAAGTGTTTTATCTTGGATTATGACGTCCGAACATGTGCAGAAAAGAAGCATAAAATATTTAGAAACTAGCAATAATGCAAATTTGTGGTATTTTTCTAATTAGTATGGATTAATTAAAGTATTATCTGGTTTTGGAGTTTCATCTCTAAAATAATAAGTTTAGACATGGAGTCTATACTTTAGATTCCTCTGGTGTATCAGGCAGAATTGGCTTGAATAGAATCTGCAGTTGAATGTATTGTGAAACAGTCAGTAAACGGAACAATTATATTGTGTGTGTAATATAATGAGATAAAAAAAAGTAATAACTCTTTATTGTGTTTGAACAGTTATGTTTCTGGTATGAATTATTAATTATAATCTTCGTCACAATTAAGTAAAAACTGGACATGAAACTGTTGATTTTTTGGATTTATCTATTGGTAGTTTGCGTGCTCTTAAATTCTAATGAATTTTAAAATTTATTTGAGTCCTGTCCGGTAAAAATCACGTGAGATAAGATTATTTATAGAAAAGTAGCTGTTCTGTAATCAAACACCTTTCAACTACTACTCAGTTTGGACTCAGGTTATTTCAGAATGTGGAAACATGGATAGCTTACTCAACCACCTTATATTTGATAGTATCTAATATAACTAGAATTAACTTCTTTAGAGGTCAGACAAACCATGAAGATGTAATAGTACCAATATTGGCATATTATATGAAAAATTCAAAGTAATTTAGTTTATCATTATGATTCTTTAATTGTTTTTTGTAACTTGAATTGGATCCATATGAAAAATATTACAAAAACTCTTTTTATAATGGGTGTATTCATCTTTGCGTGTAGATGAATAATATGTTCATTTTAAGAAATATTTATAATTTTATTTTGAAAAGTGGCAAATTATCTTTGGTCGAAAGAAGAACACTGTTTATTTACTGAAGTATATGATTTATTTGAAATTTTACTTTTCCATGTAGGTTAAACAATACAGCTTATTATTAACACCAGACGCTACTTTAATATGATTGTAAGATTTCTATTAAGGAAGAATTTACAGGTGAAATAACTTAGCTATAGCCTTCTATCGGTGTTGAGTGAAGGCTATTAAAGTCAACTTTTTCTTAAGTGTTTACAGCTTTTGTTTTGTTTTCAATATGAAAAACAAGGAAAATGTTTTAGTACTAAACTAGTTGTACATGTGGCATGTCTATGAAGGTTTTAATTTGATATTTGGTCGTACATGGTGCTGTAATAATGCCTTTCGGCAGGATAATTCGACGTCCCCATTCTTTACAAGAACCGAAAACTTGTTACAGATGTCAGCATTCATCTAAAAATGTGAAAGAATTTTTGCCTAAAAATGGATTAACAATATGTTGTGATTGCTATATGCAAAGAAAATATGGTCAATACAGACATTTGATTAAATTTAAAGGAATGTCAATCAGGAAAAGTAATAATTATATGAAAAGGAATGGCGATGAGTATTTATTGTGTGATCAAAAAGGGTAAGTTTGGTAAAAGACATTATTAACTACCAATGAAATAAGTAATCATAATTGCCAATGAAATTTGCTAGTTAGATCCCTATTAACTTGAAGATTTTTACATAGCTTTCCACTCTCTAATCTCTTCTTTAAATACTTTTTACACTGTATAATACCCAGTTATTTTATGTCTTGCTTTTATACACAAAACATATTTTATTATCTTGGCGATTAGAAAATGTTTATTGTAATCCGGTTCTGAGAATGCTCTGGTTTTCATTGTTTAGATGCATTGTTTACAACATATACTGGTAGTCGAAAATCCTATTGAATTTCAGTACTTTATTTAAAAACACAAGCCGATTTAGTGCCATCTTTGGCCACATAGAATTTTGAGGATGAGGTTAGAGTTACATGTGTACAAAATCTTATGAAATGTAGCCATTGTTTGTTTTGTTTAAATGTAGAAACCTTATCGGTTTCAGCCATTTCTATTTTAACATGACTTTCAGTTTGATTTAGGCAGACCAGTGATAGCCCGAGGCCCCCAAATCAATAAACTAATTAGGAGACAGGGTATAAAAATCGATCAAGCACTAAGTTATAGTATACTGAACAGCAAATATATATTTTTATCAGTTCATTTCAGTACTGATATTATCTTGTATAAATAAAATTACAAGCATTGCATTAACAGCACAGATAGTAAATTTAGCACAAATATGGGCAAAACAATGAATAAATATACTTAGTGTTTACTTTTTAAAGATGCATTACTTTATCCAGTGTGAAGTTATCACTGTTTGAAGATTTGACAAGATGTGGCTTAGATTGTTTATTATTGTAGCAGTGGTACTTGTTAATCGAGACTAAGCCTAAATTAAATCATTAAATGTGGACCGAGTTTCAATCTTAAATCTCTGCCATCTGATGATCTAGAGAGTTGATTATATAGGCTTGTCATGTGAATAGATGTCTAAATAATACTTTATATAACATTTGAACCCAAACTAAAGACCTATAAATGGCAGATTCAGCTCTTGGCACTGAATATTTAGACTTTGCACTTTCAAATTTTAAGCTTAGTGAACATTGATTTAGGTCAAAATAAAGTACTTGTTTACCATTTAAGATTAATTTTCGGCTTACTGTATCAAAAGTGCTTACAATCAATAGATGAAATACTTTTCTGCACCATCTTGACTAATGAACACAAAATATGGCATGCAGTGAGCTCCTCTGCATCAAATTTCAACTGTCAAAGGTATTTTTATGAGCATGCCAATGTTTTTCATTGAAATGGATGATTCTATTTTTTACTTACGGTAATTCAAAATGGTCATGTCATTTCTACCAAACAAAAGTAATTTTTTTGATTATTTCAGTTCTGTTGGTATGAAGAAACCCCATGGAACCTATCATGGTGACAACACAGATAAAGACAAGAGACAAACCACCAAAAATATCAATAACAATGACATTCCAATAGAAAACAACCATGTTCCATATAAAGCTGTCATTTTAGTTATACTGGCTATTATAGGTCCCCTAGTTATAATTAATGACCTGGGGTTTACATTTATTTCACATTCCCTAAAATCTACATTCCAAAAACAAGAAACTTACTCTACACATGAAGATGAAACTGGTTGGCATAAAGCAGACGACTTTACCTTGAACAAATATTCAACAGACATTTGCTCAATTGAGAGAGTTTCTGTACATGATATCAGCCATGAAAAATTTGAAACCGAATACAAACACAAGAAACCGTTAATTATCCAGTTTACACAAGGAGCTTCCGACTGGACAGACGTCAACCAATGGATACCGTTTCAGTTGATAGAGAAATATGGCTCACATGTTTTATATTCTGGTAAACCAAGAGAAATAGTCCGACATGGTGGAAATGGTGATACAGAAACAAGATTGGATTATTTTATCAATGAATTAATGACTTCCTCTTATAATGCTTCAAATAAAACAGATTTGTAAGTATATGTTCATGATAGATACTTTTTTTAGGTTACAGCATTATAAATCCAACATAAAAGACTACTGGTAGTTGGCATTATGAGCCGTCAAATATGTGGCATGCAAAAGATGTTCAGCGAATCTTATAGATGGCGATGTCTTGTTTAAAAGTGTTATAGATGAAACGACCTGATATCGAATTGTCCCCTAAATTTGATCAAAACTGACCATATAGATTTGGTCATAAAGACCGTAAAAAACGATCCATTTAATTTTTTTTTTATCTAATAAAAATCCATTGCTATATAGCCTATTTAGATAAAGTTTCACCAGATTTTAGTTGTTTTATCTAAGGTCAGTTTTGGCTATTTTGGTTTACGTCCATTTTGATCATATCCAGTTAATATTATCTGCAGTAGGATGTTGAGAGTTGCAAAATATTCAGTTGATCGAATCATAGTAAATACTTAACGTAATTTAGTTTGATATTCCTTTTAGAGATACTACATGTACTTTCACAATATTGTAGTTTGCATAAGATTAACAATCCTTCAAATGACTTAAACTTTTTAGATGTAGCCTTTTGATTGATAACAGTTTTTTTTCCTATTACAGGTATGTTTTCGATCGTTATTTTTTCAAAGAGTCCAACCTTTATATCAAAGCACCACCATATCTTGAACAGCAAGTAAGGTTAACTTACATTATAATCTAGATCTATACACTGGCTGGAAAAAAAAACAGAGAGAGGAAAAATTAAATCTAAAGAGGGGTGTGTGGCTAAGTGATCTAATGCCTGTGTTCTAGGTCATAAGACCTTTTATCTATGCAGTTCATCTGTTTGATTTCAAGGTTGGAGGTGATAAGAAGTAGTGTTGTCTGACTAACCTTATGGCTTTTCTCTGGGCATTCTAGTTTCCTTCCGCTTTTAAAGGGGATTTCGCAAAAGCGTTACTTAAACTAAAAATCCACCTCTTTCCTGCATTAAATCATTCTCAAGTTTGTATTCAGACTCATTTTGAGATGCCTGAATGCTGTGTGACCTTTGATTTAATTTAACAGTGTATAGTGGGTTTTTTTTTTATATCATGAAGTAGTGCTGTATTTGGTATTTTTGGAAGGTGGATACATAGCTACTAATTGTATAAATAGAGATAGCAAATATGAATTTCCAAATTGTAATTGTCGAAAAGAAAATGGTCAGTTTATGTGAATTTCATATAAAATTATTTCTCTTGGTAACATTTTGGAATTTTGTGCAGTCTGAAACAAGACACCATTATTATCCCCTTTGAAGTTAATGTGTGCTCTTCACTTTCTACGGGGGGTTGGGGGGTGGATGGCCGAATGGTTAGCACTTGCACGCCGTAGCTGTATCATACGGTCTGTCATTGAGTCAATTGGCGGGGTTTCAATTCCCCGGTTGTCATGACAAGGAGTAGGGTCGCCTGTCCAACCTCGTGGGTTTTCTCCGGGTCCTCCAGTTTCCTCTCACTGCTAAAAATCCCTACGCGCAAGCGAATTGTTGAAATGACCTAGTTTGTGTCGAGTGGACATTAAACCCCATTTCTCTCTCTCTCTCTCACTTTCTTTGATTAAAGTCTGTCTATAATATAATGAGTGTATTGATGTGTAAATCTGATATTTCAGGATGGTGTTGATGATAGTATGTTTTTTTTGGGAGCTTCTACAAGTGGTGTTAGCTTCCATAAGCATGCTGAAGGTTGGAATGCCGTTATATTTGGTCAGAAACGATGGTTCCTTTATCCTAAAGAGAAAACTCCACCTGGTGGTTAGAAAATATATTTATCACTTGACAATTTTGATTTTTAACAACCTTTTTGCATCAAACCTTTTTAATCAAAATTCCAGAATATTTTCAGTAGTTAAAGGCTCTAGATAGAAACTAGATTAATATAATTTTTTTTTTCCTTTTTATACGCCCACATTTTCTTGTGGACGTATTATGCCGTCGCCCCTGTCAGTCCAGCCACAATTTGTTTGTGGCCTCTCTACAGGTCACAATTTTTATCCTATTTTGACGAAACTTGAAATATAGGTCTATCTCCCAAAGATCCTGTTTCCTTTCGATACTGGCATATATTGAACCATAACTTCATGGAGTATGGCCCCTGATTGTACGAAAAATCACGTTTTTAGCTTGTGGACACTCTAGAGGTCACAATTTTCACCCGATTTTGATGAAACTTGAAATGCATGTTTATAAGCCAAAGATCTTTGTTCCCTTCGATCGTAACTTCCTGAATCATGGCCACTGATTATACGAAAAATCCCGTTTTTAGCTTGTGGTCCGTCTAGAGGTCAGAATTATTATCCGATTTAAAAAAAATGTTCGAATATATCACCGGTACACCGCAATGTTGGTGGAGCTTGAATTTCGTGAAAATCGTACCAAAACTGCCAGACAAAATGGCCGCTCATCGTACGCAAATAGTGTAAAAAATATGGTATATCGAGGTTGTGGATCCTCTAGGGGCCACAATTTTTATCCGATTTTGATGAAACTTTAAATTTATGTTTATATCACAAAGATCTTTGTTCCTTTTGATAATCGCGCATATCCGAATGTAACTTCCTGGATTATGGCCGCAGATTGTTCGAAAAATCGCATTTTTAGTTTGTGGATTCTCTAGAGGTCACAATTTTTTATCCGATTTTAAAACCCATTTAGAAATATATCACCATTCCACCATGATGAATTCTGAGTTCGTATTTTGGGAAAATCGAAATGAAACTGCCCGGCAAAATGGCCGCTCTCTGTACACAAATTGTGTAAAAGTATGTAATACGGAGGTTGTGGAGCCTCTAGAGGTCACAGTTTTTATCCGATTTTGATGAAATGTAAAATATATCTTTATATTTCAAAGATCTCAGTCCCTTTTGATGTTTGCGGATTTCAGACCATAACTTTCTGGAATATGGCCCCTGATTGTACAAAAAATCGCTTTTGTTTTCAGCTTGTTCGCTATCCATCTCTTGCAAAATGTGGGTGTATCTTGCCTGGCAACCACTGGTTCATAGATATATCAATATTGGTAAGATATGTTTCCTCAAGATTACTTAGTTCAACCTAAAAACTAGAATTATGATACTAGTTACTACTTAGAAATATGAAATTATAGACTGAAAGTTTTAATATACATCATCTTTTACAAAATCTCTTTTTTAAAAGGTATGTATCCAGGTTATTCTCAACTGGATTGGTTTCACGAGGTTTACCCAAAGTTAGACGAGTCAAATAAACCTGTAGAATGTATTCAACGTGCTGGAGATATGTTATATCTAGTAAGTAATAAAAACATGTAGTAAGAAAAAAAATCATGCTGGTAATATGTTGTATTTAATAATAAAACATGCCAGAGATATGTTATGTCTATTAAGTAATAAAACATGCTTGTTATAGGTTATATCTAGTAATTAAAAAAAACATGCTAGTGATATTATGTTATATCTAGTAAGTAATACAAACATGCTAGAGATATATTATATCTAGTAAGTAATAAAAAAATGCAAGTGATAGTTATATCTAATAAGTAATAAAACATGCTAGAGATATATTATATCTAGTAAGTAATAAAAAAATGCTAGTGATATGTTATATCTAGTAAGTAATAAAACATGCTAGAGATATATTATATCTATTAAGTAATAAAAAAATGCTAGTGATATGTAATATCTAGTAAGTAATAAAACATGATAGTTATATCAAGTAAGTAATAAAACATGCTAGAGATATGTTATATCTAGCAAGTAATAAAACATGCTAGAGATATAATATATCTAGTAAGTAATAAAAAAAATGCTAGTGATATGTAATATCTAGTAAGTAATAAAACGTGATAGTTATATCTTGTAAGTAATAAAAACATGCTGGTGATAAGTTCTATCTAGTAAGTAATAAAGATAAGCTAGCTAGAGATATGTTATATCTAGTAAGTAATAAAACATGCTGGTGATATTGTGTTATATCTAGTAATTGATAAAGATAAGCTGGTGATATTATGTTATATCTAGTAAGTAATAAAAAAATTCTAGTGATATGTTATATCTAGTAAGTAATAAAAATATTCTAGTGGTATGTTATATCTAGTAAGTAATAAAAACAAGCTAGAGATTTGTTGTACCTACTAGGTTAAGGCTAAATAATAAAAACATGCTGCAGACTATATCTAATTAGTAATAAATATATGCTGGATATACATATGTCTGTTATATCATATAAGTAATAAACCTATGGAATCTGAACACTGTAAAGAATCCCAACAAACTGCAGAAGAATAATAGTTAATTCCGGTCTGTTTATATAGAATTATTTTGAATTGTGATTATATAGATGAAACTATATATTTTTTGCAGCCAGAGAGTATGTATCATTCTACTATAAACCTTGGACATACAGTAGCTATAGGTATACAAAAAATACAAGCTGTGTCACAGATAGAAAAATTATTCTATAAAGGTTAGTTTACTCTGTAATAATTACATTAACATGTGTTTGTGCACATCAGTAGTGCATTTAAAAATCATCAGGAATTCTGTGAGGGGTACGAGTATTTACAAATGCTGATATTTGGACAAAATTTTCTCACATTGCCAATTTAAACCTTCACACGTAACCATGAAAATAAAAATTAACATATGTTAGCCTCACAATGGCACTGATGAAAGTTTAATTCCCATTCCTTTTCTTTTCATAACAGTACTATTACTTATAATATCACATGACGTGTTAATAAAATAAAAACTATATAAATATTGAAATGCTTGCTTATCAATCACATGCATGTAATTTACATTTATAAAATATTACCCATCTTATTTTATTCACTAACATAGGAATTATTCAAGCATGATTTTGATAATACATTTATATTGTTAATTGTATTATGTATTTTATTTGTAGATAACAAACTAGAAAGACAAGGATTAATCGTGGAAAGATTGTCTATTTTGAAAAAGCTGTATCAACTTATTCCAGGTACATTGTACAATTAGCTATTACCTATTCCAGGTACTTTGTGTACTATCAATTGTATACTATTAAATATATCGTTAACACATAAATTTCCATGATGTACCCAAATTTATCACAGACTGATTCTTGGTAGTTGAACCATATTATGCAAAAGAACCATGTACACTTTTCTTATTCAAAAATATTGTTGTTCTTAATAAAAAAAATAGTTCTACCTAAATTGACTTTCAGAATATATAAATAGTTTTGGTTTTATGTTATTACTATTGCTCATATGCCATGGCAGAACAGGGGTTAACTGTCTGTAATGAAATAGTTACATGTATTTAATTTTTCTGGGCTTATTAGACAGTTTCAATCTGTAATTTTATTTTCCCTATTCATAATCATAAGAAATATACTTTCAATTAAATTTTGTGGGTCAAAACAGATGTTCTTAATATGCCCAAATGAACATAGTTACCTTTAATAATGTATTTTATTTATTAATTTTATCAATTACAGAAAATGCTGAAGTCCACCTAAAGTTGGGATCCGTATATGAAGATTTATCAGATATCAAAACAGCTGAGAAATATTATCAACAAGCCATTGATATTGATCCGTTTTTTCTGGTTGCTATTTTAAATATGGCTCGAGTTAAATCTAAAGTAAGTAAAGGATAGTTGGAGTAGATGCTCCCCTGCAGTCTTTTAGTTCATGTTTTGGTAAAGACTTCCTATACTTACCTGAAATCTTTTTAGCCCATCGCCCCAAAGAACTGTCATTGCTTCTGTCCATCCATCAGGCATGAATGATTATAGTCATTTATGGATTTCAACAAACCTTTTCAAATGATGTTGAATTGCCCTCGTAGCATCTGGGCAAGGACAACTTTAAAGGGGAAATTGACCTTAAAAAATTTCTTTAGAATGCTAAATAGATTTATTTGACATGAACATTTTTTATTACATTTCAGTTGAATGAAAAGGATGTTGCAGATACCATGTTTCGGAAGGTAATAAAGATGAATCCTAATATGTGGGATAGTTATGCTGCGTATGGATCATTTTTGATAGAACTACAGAAATTTCAAGAAGCACTGTTGATCTTTAAAAAGGTATTAAAACATAGAATATAAAGCTAAACAATCTGGTTTCGAACAATATTTATACTAATTCTGCCTTAGTTTGCATAATTTCTTTGCAATCTCTTTCTGTCATTATGACCCTTGTTTGGATGAAACTAAAATATATGTGCACAAATTGACAGTAGCCTACCCATAAAAGATCATTTAGACAGTTCAATTTCAAAGAAGAGTAGGTGAAAATTCACCCCCCACAATTCACACATCAACATTGGAAATTCAAATTAAGCCCAATGTCCAATTACCGAAAAATTGCAACGACCACTTCACAGCTTTTAGACCAACATGTACATTCACTAAAACGTGACAACATTACAGATAATGTCATAATTCTGGTGGTTATTGGCATTTACTTTTAAAATGACTTTAGGTAAAATGTTAAGCCTCATTCAATCATTTGTTTTATGTTCTCTTTTCTTGACTTTTGCAGGGATGCGAATTGCAGCCAAACATGCACCCATTTTGGGATTATTTAAGATATTGTCAAGAGAGTGTTGGAGATTGGGAAGGAGCTAAACATTCCAAGGAAAAGATGAGCAAACTGAGTAAAAGTTAAACCTTGCCCTTTTTCAAGTTTTAGATACAAATTATAAAAAACAAAGTATGAGTTCTCTCCCTTGAAATATATTGCAGCTGACATATCTCTGGGAGAAAAAAGAACCAATATACCAACCAGCTGGGTACCGGACTGTATAACAGTCTCTCTGCTGCAGACAAGTTTTGTGAAACAAAGTTATTTCTTCCACTTTTTAGCACTTATGTGTGCTATTACCTAGATATTCTCAATCCTTGAAATTGCTAACAGATAACTTAAACATTTTCCAAAATGGAAAATTTTTATATTTCTTACAAGACATATAGAACTAGATTTCACAAAATAAAACACTTGTATGGATTTACTACTTCTGAATTTTAACAATATGCATGTTATTAAAATTCAGAAGTAGTAAATCCATACAAGTGTTTTATTTTGTGAAATCTATTTCTATGTCTTGTAAGGATTTTAAAAATTTTCCCTTTAAGAATTAAGAATAATTATAGTGTTATTATTACATATCATTCCTGTCTACAAATACAAAGAAGGTGCTAGTATTGATTTCAAAACATTTTATGTTGTTATATTATGTGAATGAAGACTTTTGTTTGTAAAAGTTAAGATTTTCTTGATTACCTTAATATTAAAGCTAAGGCCATACAAAAACAATATTCTGGTTCTCAGACAATTCTTAACAAAATCTTATGTGGGAGGGAGGTTTTTATCTTGACAAAAAATCACTACTTGGCTAAATGAGTTCTGTACACATCAAATTGTTGTTTATAGGAGTGTATGATTATCCAGTATCATTTATGATTGTCATTAACATTTATCAGGGTGGTGTACTTGATAAATGAGGCTATGGATTCATTCAAATTTCTTTATAGATTTACGTCCTGTAACCAGGATAAAATATTTACGTGCAGTAATTAATGACTCTGTTTTTATTTTTTGAAATAGAAACAGGTCATGCAGAGCTTTTGAAGTGACACAGGATTTTCTGAGAACCAGAATATATTTTTTATATGTCCTAATTTTAACAAGTTTTACTTTGTTAATTTTTGGTTTTAAATTTATTTTTTTGTTAAAGATTTGTTGTCCGAGTTTGGGGCAAATCATATTTCATAGAACATTATTCAGTGCAAATCATTAATTCAAAATTTATTAAGACTTGGATGGCCTGAATTTATACACTAAAATAATATGGTCAGATAAAAGCTATTCTTATTCAAATTCCCATCCAAGGAGTTATTTAAAGCTGCTGGTTGTCATTTGTATTTTAAAGAAATACACAGTTTAATCCATGCTAAAATATACTCAGATTCATTATTTAGCATTTAAGGGGTAAAACCAAAATCAAAATATCAATGGTAAATAATCTGGATTCAATCGAAGTAAAAAAAAGGTTCATCAATAGATTTCAGGGAAGATTATGGATGAAGCTGGCTCATTTTGACAATATACTGTGTATATCATCAGCAAGAGATGCTGTATGTTTATAAATGTTCATTTCATACTGAACAAACAGAATTGAACTATTTTTGGACTGATATTCAATTTAGAAATCCAATTTTTATAATATTGTAGTTTGCTAGTGATTAAAAATCTCCCAATGACAATCAATGGCTTTAATTCCATATTTCTCTAGAAATGTGCATAATAAATATATATTTGTTTATTTTCTACTATTGTTTTATTTTATTTAATTTTTTTTTTTAGGCTTTTTTATGGTACATTTTATAAGTACTTGTTGTAAACTTGTTTCTTTTCATTGTTTATTTCATTCCATATATTGAATACTACATATTGTTATTTACTTATTCAAAGAAGTCCCATTGTCCCAATATTTTATACAAATATTTATTTAAATATGGAAAGAAATCCAATGTTATTGAATGTATTCATGTTTTAATAAATACATTGAACATTTGTATTTCAAAAATATATATAAATTTAGATCAAATGTAATACTATAAAACATCACTATTACAAAGGTCAGTATGATATTTGTGGCAATAATATTGATTTAATGTTTATATGAATATAGGATTACATATTAATAATAATGATTTGATATTGATATTTTATAATATTTATCTATGTGTATGTATGGATTAATAGGTTATAATCCTTATTCCATGTCCTCAATTCCTCAAAAAGGTTGTGAAATGTAAATAAAATATTTTGTCTAATGTTTGTATTGATTATGAATTTATTTATAATAATTAGAATATAATATTTTATCTAGCACAAATTATAATGTTTTAAATATTTATAATAATTAGAATATAATATTTTATCTAGCACAAATAATAATGTTTTAAATATTTGTAAGTACTAATATTATAGTATAATGGGTGTATATTTTTGATGTAAGATTATTAACTATTTATTCCACACAAACACACAGTCGCAATTGAAACTACTCATATAAAATAAATGATTAAGACCCTGGTTCTCTAACTGATAGTTTTGAGTGAGATTCAGTTCAATTTCTCCATTTTCTGAACTGATATTTGGTAAATGTTTCATTAAATTGAATAGTACATCTTTAATGGATCAGAAACTCAATACTTGTATCATTTCAGGAACTGAATTAAAAGAAGAAAATTTAAAAACAGTAAAATGATGCTTTGTTTAAACATACATTATGCAGGAGCTAAATCTGTTTATTGCAGGTCTTTCTTTAGGCCTCAAATGTTGTATAAACTATTAATTAGACATTTATTAACATGAAAAGATCTTAATCAACTCTCGATGCCATTTTGTGTGTCAGATTTTCACTGGATTTGCTGCTCAACGCTCATTGATGATTTCATCCAAAAATGGATGATCGAGACTAGGCCTAAAATTCAAATGCTAATATATCTGTTCAGTGGAGCAATTTGACTGAAATTTTCAGCATATTCCCCTTATATTATCTAGTTTTCAACTTTTATAGTGTGAACTGCCAGCTCTTTATCTAATCTTCCATAATGCCCCTTTAAATGAAATATACATATTATATACAGGCAGTTAGCCAGGGTCCTACATAGATTCTATATTTGCTAATATTTAATTGTAATAATACATCTGATAAAATACCTAATACTGGTTGTGAACAAAATATTTATTCTATATTATAACAAGTTTAAAGAGGCAATACTACTGTTACTACTGTTATAATTACTACTTCATAAGTATGGACTCTGTTTAGTGCTCATTTCATGCCATTGCTTAAAAGAAAAAGACACAAGTATTTGGCTACAGAGTTAGATCAGTCATATTGATAATCAGTTGTATGATAAATGTTGGGTATACCCAATTTTTATTACACAGTTCTATATAGTAGAAAATTGTTACCCCTGGCCATACAGAACCTGTAATAATATTGTCAAAGAAACCAAAGCATTCATGCAAGATATTTTGATATGGATAACTCTTTCTGTGTGATAATGAAATAAGGTTATTTTGAGTAATATCTGAAATCAAAATCAAATCTGTTTTTGTGGGGAAGCAGTGATGGTAATATTGCCTCTAGATTGTACACAAATATTTTATGAGAAATATTTACATTATGGTTGTGAATGAGTATTCTAGACATTTTACTGTGGATCACTACTGCAAGAAATATTCACCTTTTCCCTATTGTGGTATTTGTAAATGGTTATCATCATTAGAATATATTTACTATCTTTTGAATCACAGATAAATAAAACAAAGCAGTTCTGCTCATACTTCCCCTTTAACTCTGTTGACATATGACAAAAATTTATGAGTCATAAGTGTTTTACAGGCTTCATGCAAAATGTCAATTTTCAACAAAAAAATATCTGTAAATCAAGAATAAAGCAAGAAAATAAGACAGTTTACATAAAATATTGTTGAAGTGTAGAGTAAATTGGCTAAGGAAGGAAGATTTACTGGGGTATATATAAATACGATGTTAAAATCCATTGAAATAACAATGGCGGCATGACTAATTTAACATTATTTCACTGTAGAGTCAGGAACTGTGAAAAGGTCAAATTTCAAGCAGACTGGTTTTCAACTTGTATCAAATAAGTGAAAAGTCTAGTTAGTACCTCAATTCAACCACAAAACTTAAATACACCAAAGCATATAGTCCACCCACACTAAGGTTGTGAAATAGATATTTTTTGTAACTTTAAATGCATATTATCTTTATATTATATAATAACAATAACTACATTCCTTACTACCATAGGTATTATTATATTTTAACACTTGCACATAAGTACATGTATATTTTATTATTGTCTCTTTATTACAAAACTGGGGCTATGTTTATTTTATACATTAACATCAGACATATTTTGTTTGATTGTCAACATTCAGTTTACTCAAAATAATTGTTTGAATGATTTTTGGACCAGTATGTATTTTGGTAAGAGTACTTTTCATTAGAAATTGTCTTAAACCCCATATTTTATTCTGGAATTTTGTACCTTGAAAAATACTTATGTATACTCAGGGGCGTACATAACGATTTTGTTTGGGGAGGTGTTTAGTCAAAAGGCGCTGACTGATGTCCATACCCCTAGTACGAGTGACGCAGTCAGGAGCCGAGCACCACAGGTGCGAGTTTTGTAGGGGCCATGTGCAGTGGTGGATCTAGATAGGGGTGGGAGGGGGAATCCAAATCTAGGGCGCCACCCCAGCCACAATCCCACCCCACAATGAATGTCAACAAAATACTGCAGGCTATAACATTAAGCGCCCCGGTAGAACATAGATGGTATTTTATAATTATATAATGTCATATATGATTGAGCCTATAACATTGAGCAACCTGAGAAAATTTTGAAAAATTGAGTCAATATCTTGGCATTTGAGGTCATTGCTGGGAGAAATTCTTGTGGACGAGAGGACCAGAAATGTAAGTCAATTAGACAAAATCTCAAGATCCGTCTCTGTCAATTCCGCCTGTTTTGCAAGAGCTGACAGAACTTTTGTATAGTCTGACGCCCCACGACCCAGTGCTAGTGGTACTACTAACATAACTAGGCAGTTTAGTATAACCGTGAATATGATAGTGCTGAGACACTATAAGACAACAGGGGAGTGGAAGAATGATGTTAAAATGAAATTGAGCGCCGCAGGCGCGAACAAATTTCAGATGTGTAACCGAGCTTTAAAATTTTGGGACTGGGCCTGACAATTTTAGTCAATGTCATGGCAAATGGATCCAAATTCTCGTTAACGAGGGGATAAGAAATGGGACAGAATCTTGAGGCCTATTTGTCAATGTCGTCTGTTTTGTGAGAGTAGAACTAACATTTCTACAGTCTTTTGACCCACGACTCACTCACTAGTGGTACTACTAACTGGGCGATTCACTGTAACTGTGAATATGATAGTGATGAGATAGTATAAGACAGAGAAGGAGTTGAAGAATGATGGCATAATGAAACTGAGCGCCGATATGTAACTGAGCTTTTAATTTTTGAGGACTGGGCCTGAGGGCACTTTACCTCAATGGGGCGCTTACTTGGTCTCTGAAATGCCCTGGACTGTGGGGAGGGATTTTGCAGAATTCTGATGGTCAGAAAACACCCCATTAATTCATTTAGTCTGGAACCGACTGCGGTGAGCACTTTTTTTTTGAGACCGACTATTTTTTTGCCATTGGGTGAAAAACATTTTTTTCAAACATGATAAGTCGACAAGGTTATTTTATACTAAACTTTTGCGGGAGTAGAGTGACGTGTGCTGTGAGCACTTATTTTGATACCGACTGCTCATATCTTACGACCGACTGCACTGATCTTGCGACCGACTAGTATTTGGGATCTATTCTGGCATTATTTTTTTACCTCATTAATTCATTAAGACGGCAATGCATAATTTTGAGACCGACTGCAGTGACTGTACTTATTTTGAGACCGACTATTTTTCTCCCTGGGGGAAATTTTGTTGTTAGACCTACATACTCACAACAGAATAAGAGTGAAACACATCATTTTTTCAAACATGATAAGTTGACAAGGTTATTTTATACTAAAGTTTTGCGTGAGTAGCGTGTGCAGTGAGTACTTATTTTCATACCGACTGCTCTTATTTTGCGACCGACTGCACTGATTTTGCGACCGACTGCACTGATTTTGCGACCGACTATTTTTTTTCCTGGGGGGGTGTACCACCCCCACATTTACGCCCCTGTGTATACTCCAAAGGGCGGTGGGACTATTAAATTGGGTTCGTCTGTCGTCAACATTTTGGGGCACATAACTCTGCTTCTAATTGAGATAGAATGTGTGGATGTTCATTAGGTTATGTCTTGACTGAATTCAATGTCATTGTCAATGATTAACATTTTCTGCTTAGGCCATGCAGAAATAACTCATTAACTTCTGAGGAATATGTTCATTATTTAAATGTCTGACTGGGTTGGATGTGGAGATTAAGCAAAGATAATCAATTTCGTTGGTGGATGCTTTGGAACAAGTTACCCATGCTTCTTATTGTGGCATGGTGGTGAACCTCGGTGTATATTTTTTTATTACATCAAACCTGTCTCAGGAGAGAGAGAGAAATGGGGTTTAAGGTCCAATCGAAACAAACTAGGTCATATCGGAACTAACACATGATCTTGGGAGGAAACCGGAAGACCCTGAGAAAACCCACAAGGTTTGACAGGCGACCCTACTCCGTGTCACATGCAACCGGGGAATCGAAACCATGCCAGTTGACTCAATGACAGACCTTATGATACAGCGTGCATGTGCTAACCATTCGGCCATCTCCCTCCCCCCCCCCCCCCCCCGTTTCAGGAGAGTGATAAGCATTTTGATTGCAGGATGCTTTAAATAAAAGATAAATGTGCAAGTAATTTGAGTGTCATCCATTTAAATTTGGAATTGAGGTGACGGACATCACTATTGGCTGGTTCTCTCATAAATAGTTATAGCTCTAAACTTGAATATGGTTACACATGTATAAATGTACAACCGTAAATTGATATTTATAGATTAAAATGCTTAATTTTATTGAGTATAATAATCTGTATTACAAGCTTTTTTTTTTTATATGTCTCTCGATTAAAGTGGTTTTCCATAGTTTCAAAAAAGTTTTCAGATATTTCAAAATTTGATAATGAAATCCACTAGGGTAACTATTTGATACTATACACTTATTCCTTTAGCACTTGGTACACAAATATTGACTACACCAGTTCCCGCAAGAAAATTAGAGAAAAGTGATCTATTCCATACCGGTATATCCCTGAACACCCCAAAATTACTGTTCTTTACACAGCTTGAGATATGCGAGTTGCTGTCCCGTGTTGTAGTACATATACTAGTACTTGGGGTGCCACAACTATTCATGTGACTGGGTCAAAGGAGCCCTAGCGGGAGATTAAACCACATTTCATTTCTAAGGAGCCCTAGTTACCGGTAGCTTCAGGCATTCCAAGTGCTAAAGTATTAAGTATAATGGTGGTTAAAAAACAATTCTATTGCAATGTCTAATATATCTATCTTTCCAATATTTTAATTTAAATGTGTATGTTTTGTTTCTAGATAATAAACATGTAGAATAGAATGATTTGTCGTTTTTATCTATTAAAATACAATATCAACATCTCCACCCTGATGCCTTCCCCTGTACAGACTGTGTGATTTGATGATATATTTTGAAAGCATATTTAAGCTGATTTTTAAAAGTTTGCTTTAAGTGACTCGATTGAGGGAGACAATTTTTGTTGTTCAAGCATTCACAAGGTTCAACAAAGTGAAACAAAGGCCATAACTTTTGAAGTTACTGGTATATATGAAAATTGATGAAATTCAATAGGCTTCTTCATTTTCCTAATCTAAATAATGCATATCAGTTTCATACAAACCGGATGATAACTTTAGTTGTTAGAGCATTCATAAGGTTCTACAAACTACAAAGTGAAACAAGGGCAATAACTCTAGTCTACAAGAAACTGCGGACAATGGATGTACGGACAGCGACCACAGCAATGAAAAGGATGGGCGAGGAAAAATGTTTGGCTTGCCAACCTGGGCTAAATAATTTTTCTAGAGCAGTGGTATTTCAGACTACTAATTAAGTAAAACGTATCAGTAGGTAATGCCTACACTAGTACACACTACCAGATGTTCCTAACCTGGTATGGATGGTGCCTTATAGAGATTGAATGACCAATGAGTAGGGAGCAAGCTCAAAGTATGCCAGAGAGGTTCTTGGACATGCCCAGTCCACATCTACTCCCATTTCATGCTGACTAATATGCAAGTGTTGTGATTCTGAGTACTAGTAACCAGGCTTTACTATAAGGGGATTGGGGAGAATAATTTTGATATATTGGGTTTATTTAGTGCCAATTTCAGACGGTGGGGCCAATGTTGGTGCAGTTCTTAGGAGAGCTTTGAACATACCCTTTTACGTCTGGACAGAGAGGACTGGCTACTATACTCAGGGTTCCCGCGGTTTCATCAAACATTTTTTCAAGGATATTCAAGGATAAATATACGTCAAATTCAAGGATTTTCAAGGACATTTTTTAGCCTAAAGTTACAATTTTTCATCTTAAAAATAACCAAAACATTACCAACTATCGTTATAATCTCATATTTAAAAGGAATTCAAAACATTTGAAACAAAATTAAGGATCTCAACTGAAATCCCGGATATTTTCCTATTTCTGCGAAATTCAAGGATATTCAAGACCTTGAAAATGAAATTTTAAATTTAAGGATATTCAACGATTTTCAAGGACCGCGGGAACCTGTATACTATTCCCAGACAGAGGGATACAATGAATGCAAATCTTGAGTGCTTCTTAAGTATCGGCACAATTAGAGTACAACAAGAATTACCCATGATGCAGCACAGTAGGGGGGAAGGGATGATTACAGAAAATTATGGTATACTCATGATATCATCAAAAAAATTCACTGGTAAACAATGCACAAGTCTGAACAGTTTACCAAGTGAAAGCACTGCACTTCAATTTGACTTCTTTCCTATTCAGAATTACATTATTAAGTATGCTTTCTTTATTTTGTAATTGTAATGGACAACCTCACTAATATCTTTATGAATTAGACACTATTGGAAACCAATTAGAAGGTTCTTAACATCATGGATTTGTATTTTAAAAAAATAAAGGTCCATGTTTATAATAATAAATGGTTATTCTACACTTGACTTAACCTGATCTAAAATGATAATAGCAAACTTGAAGATATTTTCTATCAGTTCAGAAGATATTCTAAATTCATACTTTGTAAGAAATTATTCTTTATTTCCAAATTTCTGGTACACCCTTATGATCAATAGACAAAGAAAACTAGAATTGAAAGCAGAAAGTACATACTGTATAGGTCATCAGATGGGTCAATCGCAACCCATTTATTTATTTGACAATATAAGTTCATTTTAATCTTCCCATGCATAATGTGGAAATTTTATTTCACTAATTCACATAATGAATTGTTAAAGTTGCAATTTCAAATTTTCAAGTTATATTTTTAAAATGTATTAAAATAAAGCCTTAAAATAGATGGTATCCATAAACAGTCCTACATTGTTAAAGAATAATCCTATTAATCCTATAATTCGCTATTGCCAGCTGAGAAATTGGCAAAAATATCATTTTTAAATTCAAATTCCAACGTTGGAAAATGGCTGCCCCATGTTGTCAATAGCAAAACAGGGGATGTAATTGTGTTGTTATTTCCTGTGTCATAGATTTTTAAGGGTGGGAAATAATGCCCATGATCGTATAATAGTGATTTGATAACCTATTGAGCAAAAGACATACACATGTAGAAATAATTATGTTTTGACTTTCTTAGAAAATTTGAAATTCTCGCTTTAAAATTAACAGTCATTTAAATTATTAACGGTTATTGATAACAAATAATTTCTTGAACATATTATCTTACCGGAAAATGTTTGAGGTGCTAGGTGAAACACAAAAACAGTAACACCAGACAGTTTTTAGGATATGTAGATACATGTATGTACATTGTATATAGGCAAATCTAACTAGTTTTTAAGTTATTGAGGACCACAATCCTTCGTTTTCAGTGATAATTTAGATCTTTTTAGTCTGGGACACACCCATCCAAGGCAAGTAAAATCAACCTGTGTGAACTAGGTATTAATAGTTTTATTAATACAAAAATTCTTCATCTAATATCCTCCTATTTTAACCTCAAATAATTTGAATATTTTTACATCCATTAATAAAACAAATATGTATACATCTTTTACAGTTTAAATCATATACAACTGTCTTCACCAGTGGATTCTAACACAGCACCACTATAGGCCAAGTCCCAGTAATGTTCAACACCTAACTTTTTAAATTGTTCTCGAGCAAATGTTTCGGTAGGACATGCCTTAAACTTAATCTCACTGAAATTTCTAGATTTTGTAGTACCTTCCCAAACTAAGACACACTTGTTGACTTTATCTTCCTCATCCTCTTGATCATTGTCATCATTATCTTTAGAACGTTTTTTATCATCCTGCCATTTGATTCGATGTAACATTAAACGTTTAAACTTTCTCTGTTGCTTAGGTCCGCCTTCTATAACTATAGCATTACAGTCTCTATATAAAATGACAATTCCAGTCATAAACAACTGATTCGCATTGGTTTCCACTTTAAATTTGATTGCTGGATTTTTTAAATCTCTCACCCGATACACCGCAACATGAACACCTAAAGATGTATCTTCTTTAATTTTCTTCATTTTTTTCTCACGTCGTTGTTCGGCTGTTAATTTTCTTGCAGCATTTGCTTCTTCATGGGCTTTTTCTCGCTTTGCCATCTGGGCACGCACATGGGCTTCAATTTTTGTAGGATCCTGAACAGCCTCTTGTCCAAGTACTCTCATTAAATTAGCCATTCTAACCTTGGGTTCTGGTGGTGGCATTAACCCTAATCTTATTTTCTCTGTTATTTCCTTCTGACCTTCAGTCCTATTCTGTCTTCTTAATTTTTCTCTCTCTTTTTTGGTGAGGTAGACTGGAATACTAATTTCTTTGGTTGGCTCTGCTGGAGGTTTCATCTGAATTGGATGTTCAACTAAATTGGTAACTCCTTGTAAAATCTCGCCTTCTAAGTGTTCATTTGTATCAACTGAATCATAAGAATCGGTATTTATTATAAAAGAATCCCACCATTCTATATCTGGTACTTCGCCTTCCTGCATATCTTTCTTTGGTGCAATTGTGGCCAATTTAGCAGCAGATGCAATGCCAGTTTTCTTGGCGGCTTGTGCGATCTCAGTTTGTAGCCTATCCAGTTGTGCCTTAGTACGCAATCTATTGGCTAACTGTTCGAATTTGCCTTTTTCATTAAATTTGAATGCTCTCTTCTGTCTGATTGCACCTTTACCAGCAACTCGAGGATCAAAAAATTTACTGTCACTGATTTCTTCTGGTGGTTTATCTATCAAACCTTTAAACTGTTCACGCCGTTTGGCTTGAATGTTGGCCTTCAGTGTCGGTGTATGCAGTGACAACTGTATAGCCTGACCTGTCATTGCATCAATAGTTTGACCTTCATCATTTAAAATTAATGTTGGCTTAGAATCTTGTGACATGTTCTGAGACATTTGCTTAGCTGGATTGAAACCTGGCATTCCTGTTAGCCGAGCCTGAATCTTAGCCTGTAGATCTGCTGCTCTCTTGGCTTTAGTCATTGAATCATTCATAAACACCTTTGTGTTATCTGGTTGAACTGTGGCCAATGATTTGGTAGGAAGTGTAGCTTGTATTTGTGTTTTTCGCTCCTGAATTAATTTTTGAGCATTTGCCATCATTTCTTTAATTTTATCCGCAGTAAGCTGTCCCGGACTTGGATTCCCAGGTGTTGATACTTGCACAACAGGAGCATCCTCATCCTTAAAAAAATAAAAAACACCTTTGTAAGAAATACAGTGTATCTACTAGCAAGCCATATCATACATGAAAACAAAGTAAGAGACAACCAGAATGGTAAACTTACATTCTAGATACAATTGCCTTACAGCGTACAGTTACGTTAGCTAATTTAATGTACACTGTAACTGGTATACATTATTCACTTCCAATAGGATATCTTGTATTAAATATATTTCTTAATCAAGTAGCCTTGGAACATCTGGAAAAACATAATCTTTTCTGATATTAGCCTCTAATCTGGACTGGACTGAGAAGGAATGCGAGCTATTTCGTAACCTGACTGTTTCGTACTTAGTTAATCATTTGTAGCTCACATGAGCCGTTTCGTACCTTGGTTAATTTCAAGAGAACAAGAGAACTTTTACAGGTACTTAAGCTTAATCCTCCTCCTTTCGCACAACCTTGTATATGAAGCTGTGGAAAAGGTTGTTGTAGGGCTTTCCATATAATAGACCTTTTTCGAAATCGACTACAAACTTCTGGTACTTCTCTGGAAGGGGTCCTACAGCTGAGTGCTGGCTCCAAGTTCATAAAGCATGCCCAGACTAAAGTTAAGAATTTACTCAAAATTGTTTGCCTTATTTTAACTAAAATATAGCCCTTTATAAAAAAAATTTGTTTTAATGTATCAAATGCAGCAATAAGAAATTATGTGCAAAGTTTTGTGTTTCTGGATCAAAGATATTTCTCAAAACAATGATTGAAAGTTGAGTAAATTCTTAACTTAAGTCTGAGAATGCTTTGTGAACTCAGGGACTGGTCAACATCAACGCAAATGGAGCATCGCCAGGCGATGTCGGAATTGATCTTGACAATTACATGTCATTTCGGTCCCGACAGCTTTCCTACATCTCTCTGGATACCGGTGTTGCATTTACGATGTTTCACCTTTATTTCAATTTCTTTCAATTTATTTCAACTTATTACAATTTCTTTCAATTTATTTCAACTTATTTCAATTTATTTCAACAAAATATAGGAAAATGTACGCATCAATTTGAGGTACGAAGTGAGGTACATGTACAAAGGAACTAAATACAAAACAGACAGACTACAAAAGAGCCTGCACCACAGAGAATAAATGCGGGATCATTTGAGGCCAATTTTCAACAAATTCAGAAACACGCTTATATAAATATTGGAACTGTCTACATAGTTTGATTTGTAGTTTCAGCATTACATACATGTATCAAGCCACGACATACAGTAGGCCTACACATGTATTGTACCTGATTATAGTCGTATTTTTAAAGACAGTCTTCAGACTTTCTGCTCTGGTTAAAAGTGGAAACATTGTTCTGAAAACACCAGACACTGATCATACAAGCCAACAGTGAGGCTGATGTCCCCCGCCGAAATAGGAAAATAATTAGAGGACACATATAAATTTATCACAAATTATCTTTTACAAAGTATTGAACAATCAAACAGTATATCTTTACTTATAGTCTAAGCATACAATGTTTTTGATGGAATAATTATTGCATATTAAGGGGAAAACATGCTCTATGCCTACAGATCTAGAGTTTGGTTGTATCAACGGGTCTATTTTCCATCTTGCTGCAAGTTGTGCAAAGTTCACTGTTTTCTTTCTGTCATTAAATGTCAATTCATTATTGCATACTACATATTTAATTAATTTATAATAGTTTCTTTTTCAATTTGTTTTTTCTGCTTACCATAAGCGGAACGGACAGACAGACAAACAGACAGACGGACGAACCCATTTTAATAGTTCCCTGCTTTCTTCGAAAGGCGGGGGACAATCAAAGTAGGAGAGTTATTGTTTTCCAAAGTCTCGACCAATCAAATTGCGTATCGCTCTGCTTACCCTGAGCAGAAAATGCTCATTATCAAACTTAGTCAAGGTATTACTGTAATGAAACTATACACCAAGTTTCATCAATCTCACTTAATTAGAACTAAAGTTATCGTGTCCCAAAGCATCAACCAATCAAATTGCTTATCTCTGCTTACCCTAAGCGGAAAATGCTCATCTTCGAACTCCATCAAGGCATTGACCTAATCAACACATACACCAAGTTTGAACATTCTAGCTCAATTAGGAAGAGAGTTATCGTGCCCCAAAGTATCAACCAATCAAATTGCTTATCTCTGCTTACCCTAAGCGGAAAATGCTCATCTTCGAACTCCATCAAGGCATTGACCTAATAAACACATACACCAAGTTTGAACATTCTAGCTCAATTAAAAGTTATCGTGTCCCAAAGCATCAACCAATCAAATTGCTTATCTCTGCTTACCCTAAGCGGAAAATGCTCATCTTCGAACTCCATCAAGGCATTGACCTAATCAACACATGCATTGACCTAATAAACACATACACCAAGTTTGAACATTCTAGCTCAATTAGGAAGAGAGTTATTGTGTCCCAAAAAGTGTGACGGACAGACAGACGGACAGACAGACGGACGAACCCATTTTAATAGTCCCCTGCTTTCTTCGAAAGGCGGGGGACAAAAAATAACAAAAACTCCACCAACAGAGTACAGGCATAAAAGGGTGATGTGTTTCTGTTGGCAGTATGAGTATGAGTATTGTTGCTATAAATTTCTATTTCTACCTGAAATCGTCTGCGACGTTTGGAGTCGTCACGCTCTTCTCTGTCATCTTCTTTTCTTTTGGATTTAGTTCGACTTCGGTTTCCTAATCTGAATTCATCCCACAAACCATAGACAATATCTGTCAATCGTACAGCTTGACTAGTGTCCAATATTGCCGTCAATTTATCAACAGTTTTCTTTCTATCGTAGCCCCGATCAATGCAATCAAAGGCAGCTGAAGCCAAAGTCGGTTCACTAAATCCAATAAATTTCTTTACGGATTTATCTAACATATATCTAAAGTCTTCTGTCTCTCTCCTCGACAACGACATTGTGTAAATTATATGATCGCGTGGCAGTTACAACATGTTTTGCATTATTATTGTATACTAATTTCGCATCTTTCGCACGAGTTTCGTTTAAGATGGCGGAATCAGGGGAGACAACTCTAGTGATTTACGTTAAAGGATTCAGACCACTATTTTTCCTCCTTGTAAATTGAATGCTTCGTTCTTATCATTTTGACTGTTTCAAAAACGTCTTGTGTGTGGCATTCCGTGTAATTTAATATTTAATCTTTATATCAACAAAGAGCAAGACTTATAAATAATGATCAGAATCTTGCACCTGTAACTGAACCGAAGCTAACAAATAATGACAACCTATCAACATATTAATTTTCCATGGCATTAATGTTAAATATCGTGTCTTTGTCTGGCTTTAACTTTCCACAAATTTCCGTTAAGTCGAAGGCTTTTTACCACAGATTGAGCAACGTGGCAGGATAACGTCTTGCTCAAAACCATTTATATGGATTCATCATTGAAATCATGAGATACACAAACTGGAAGTCTGATAATAATATGTAACTATTCACACTACATAAGCATGAATATTCTCCAAAACCTTGCAGAAAAATGTCAGTTTAACATTAACCCCTTATTTTTGATTCTACACCAAATTCAATCACGCGTTAACGGATCAGTTCAAAATCATCATTAGGCATATTGTTCACTTGTGTTTCTGACGGATTAGATATGCATTTATTTCTTGAAAGTATAAGGGAAACAGTGAGATTACTGAATTAAGAGAAACTATTCGCACTACATAAGCATGAATATTCTCCAAAACCTTGCAGAAAAATGTCAGTTTACAGGCTTGAATTTAACATAGAAGTGGGTAGAAGTGAGACTTCTAGAACGTAGACTTTCAGGAGAAGAAACCCCTGCTATGCTCTATACTGTTCCCAGGGTTAAGAGACCCGCGGTTGCGAGGGTCGCGATTAGATAACTGAACGGTCGATCTTTATTTCAAGTCCACCTCATGTCGCTATATCTATGACATATTAGGTAATTAGAAAAAATGACGGGATAGAGTTTTATTTATACTCTTTCCTTGTGCCCCTTATCCATCAAATAATTCACTGCTATGGCCAGTTGAAACAGGCGGTTGCCATGCAAGATATGTCCACATTTTGTAACAAATGGACGGGAATAGGTAAAATCAAAAGGGCTATCCTATCATTCAAGATCATTTGATCCTTGACATATTTAAGGTTCATCAGAATGGGACAACAATGGTAGACCCCCCTACCCCCACCTGGAGTGCCTACAAAATCCGTATATATTTCAGATTTTGCGTGAAAAGCAGGGGCTATAGCTCTAGAATGTAAGGGGCACTGAACTGATCCAAGAACTTTTGATCCCTAACACACAGTTGAAGTTCATAGTTAAAGGTACACAAACTTCATTCATATTTAACATTTTGTGTAAAAGGCAGGGGCAGATGCGCAAGCAAATGGAACCCACCCATGGACTAGTGATACTCTTTTTAAGTTTCATCTAAATCGGATAAAATTGTGACCTCTAGATGGTCCACAACCTGGGTATTACATGATTTTATTATAATATTTTCGAAAAGGGGAGTGGCTATTTGACGGGGAAGTTTCGGTCCGATTTTGCGGAAATAATTATTGTGTAACGGTGATATATTTGAACAGTTTTGAAAATAAGATACAAATTATGACCTCTAGAGGGCCCGTAAGCTAAAAACGTGATATTTCCTACAATCAGGGGATCAAAATCCAGAAAGTTGCGGTCCAATATTAATACGAGCCAATATCGAAGAAATCCAGATCTTTGGGATATAAATAATATTTTAAATTTCATCAAAATTGGATAAGAAATTCGAACCGCTGGATGGTCTACAACCTTGGTATTACGATCAGATCCTAATGTTAAAGCTACTGGTAGATTTCGTCAAGGTCCCATGTAAACAGGGTTTTGCAAGTGATTGTTGCAGAGGATTGTGAGTTAGGGTAAGGGTTTGCGCTAGCCCTGTTTACATCTCGTGTCATTGGCGAAATGTGCAGGTGGCCTTAATATTTAGATCTAAACTGAATATTATATGCTTTTAGAGAAGCGGCCATTTTGTCGGGCAGCTCAGTCTCATTTTCAGGAAATGTGAACTCATCCGTAATTATGGTGTAACGGTGATATATTCGAATGTAACCCCTAGGGGGACCACAAGCTAAAAACGCGATTTTTCGTACAATCAGGGGCTATAATCCAGAAAGTTACAATCAGATATGCGCGAATATGGAAAGGAACCAAACATACATTTCAAGTTTCATCAAAATTGGATGAAAATTGTGACCTCTAGCGTGTCCATAAGCTAAAAATGTCATTTTTCGTACAATCTGAGGTCATAATCCATGACGTTACGGTCCAATACATGCAAATTCCAAAAGAAACCGAGATCTTTGTGTGATAGACCTATATTTCAAGTCTCGTCAATTTCGAATAAAAATAGTATTATCCTATACTATAGGATGGTAGCCCCCCCCCCCCCCCCATCAAACATTGCTTCCGTCGGCCCTATTTTAACATTAACCCCTTATTTTTGATTCTACACCAAATTCAATCACGGATCAGTTCAAAATCATCATTAGGCATACTGTTCACTTGTGTTTCTGACGGATTAGATATTTTGCACTTGTGTATGCATTTATTTCTTGAAAGTATAAGGGAAACAGTGAGATTACTGAATTAAGAGAAACTGGATGCGGGCCTTTAAGTATATGAAATCAATATAGTGCTGCAAGAGTTCCACGTCCGGGGACCGTCGCATGACCAGTCCATCATCATTTAACCCTTGACCTTGAGTGGCCGATTATTTTTGACCAAATCTAAATTACTCTATTCGTGTGCCTTTGTACAAATATGATAATGAATCAACGATTCTCAATACGTTATCAAACAGGAAACATTATCAAGTGTAGTGTGCCTAAAATAAACAAAATATGTATGACGTGAATAGTCACGATGAGAGGAAATGTGATACCATTTAAAACTCTTTAAATAATTATCTCAACCACACGAGGCATTTATCTAAAACAGATGATATCACATTATTTAAACGATAATAAACAAAAACTACCGAGTTTTTTTGTGGGGTTTTTTAAATTTGTGATCTAGACATTATGGCCATCTTGATCTGCCTATCGGTCAGGCTGATGGCAATTTTCATATCAATAGTTACATGTCCAACAAAAGGGGGGGGGGGGCATTCTTTTTCGCTTTCCGAATTCCAGGTGTTATTTATGGGAACACGAATGTATACTCGTTTTTGAATTTTTAAATCCACCGAAACGACTAGATATACTCTCCCTGTCAGCCTGCTCCCTGTGAGAAGTCGGTTTGAAATATCCTGGTGGTTCTTACCACGCCCAGATTCGAACCCTGTCTGTTCTAAACCAGAGGCCAATGCCCTCTACTCCTCGACTACCGTGCAACAGGGATTTTGGAGAAAAAAAAACTAATTGCTTACATTGTACTACTTGGTTTTATCTTCTGCTATCAGGCTGGCAGTAAAATGCGGTTTTAAGGACAATATTGGTGCCAGTCATTATCACATATGTGATAGAGCTGGTTAAACACATTCCAAATATAATTTTAACACAGAGATCATTGCTACGATAGTGAGCAGAAATTCGGCCGTATATCCGTTATCACTCGTCACATCAGTCAGTTATATAGAGAGATGACTCGTGTTTTCCTTTGGCGTTCGTCACTTCCGACTCAGGAAACCTGTATTACTCAGCTACCGTAGCAATGATCTCTGTGTTAAAATTATATTTGGAATGTGTTTAACCAGCTCTATCACATATGTGATAATGACTGGCACCAATATTGTTCTTTAATGCTCCCTCAGTACAAATTTACATATTATGAACCTTTTATAATTGGCTTGTGCGTACCGACGAAAACTGTACGGCACTAGGGGCGGTGTTTTTTTTTTTTTTTTTTTTTAAACATGATATTATGACAAGGAAACATCCCTTTCTTATATAGTGAAAGTGGTAGTACTTAACATCGGTTTAATTAAATGTCTGTATGCCTGACCGATCACCAGGGATGTTGCCCCTCTGGCTACAGAAAAACTTCGCTATGTTTTTCGTATGATTAAAACACGAAGACACTTCATTCGTTGAGTACCATCGACCGACAAATCACCCTACTCTTTAAGGCATTTTGTTAATGTACTGTTATCAAAATGACATAATTTTTCTGTTCACCGATAATTTATACTCTTCAAAATTTCAGTAATTTTATTTTGTTGGGAATTCGGAATGCCGTCAAGTTAAGCTAAACTGATCTATGGAGAATATACACTAAATAATTTAGTTTAGATGCGACAAAAGGTAACTTGTACGCTTTAGATCATAAGGCCTGATATTGAGTCAAGTGGCGTGGTTTCGATCCTTTTTGAGTTATTTTGTTTTGGACTTGGTGGTTGACAAAATTTTGGGCACTTCTCAGCTACTAAAATATTACTTAATTCCGATAGTTGGATGTCCGATGTCCATTTATATGCACGAACCGCACTTGAACGATGGCCAGTTTTTTCCACAATGAGCTGATCATATACTCCTGCCGCAAACAACCGTGTAGCTGTGGTCGCTCTCAAGCAGTGCCAGTGGTTTGCTTAGTCCCCTTTGAATCCAGCCCCCCCCCCCCCTGGCAGATGCGTTTTATTATCTGCTATAATAAATGAATTCCAATACAACAAGCAAGTCACTTTTAGTTTTACAGCCCACTTAACCTTTTCTGTTTGGGCACATAATCCATTATTGGTAACTTTTGTAGCCCCGATTGTCCCAACCAGCAAATATGGAACTACCAAGATTATTATCAGATTTAGTTTCCACTTTAGAGTTAGGTCTCATATATCAGAATAAATAGAGTAGCGAACGACTAGACGTTACTTCTTGCCAGACCCTTGCCTACACACCTGGGAAGGGAAAATCTCCAGCGCCTTACTAACTGAGCAATATGGCACTGCCACCCACCCCCACTCTTTTAGTTCACTTCTTTGACACATTTGCACGATAGGTGTTTATTTTCTGGTCTGTTGCTGGGGCGTGTGCACAAAAATGAGCAGGGAAGTGTGTGTGTGGGGGGGGGGCAGACAGCGCAGCCTTGGGAGTGGGGTGGGTATGGGGTTCTCCCCCAAGAAAATTTTAAAGTTTGAATACGATTTTAGTTCACTTCTTTGACACATTTGCACGATAGGTGTTTATTTTCTGGTCTGTTGCTGGGGCGTGTGCACAAAAATGAGCAGGGAAGGGGGGGGCAGACAGCGCAGTCTTGGGAGGGGGTGGGTATGGGGTTCTCCCCCAAGAAAATGTTAAAGTTTGAATACGATTTTCTTGCATCTGAGGCCATTGGCCATTTCCGTGGGAAATTTACTCTTTTAAATGTATAAGCACTATCTGGGGTCACTTTTGTATACCCTCAAGAGCAGTGACCCCCTGGTCCCCCCCCCCTCCGGACACACGCCTTTGTTGGGCAGGAGTTCAGGCAGCTTGTTCCAACCAGATCCAGTGATACTTAAAACCAATCGCGCTCAGTGTACGTCCATGCACCATCGATCCATCCATACTTTGGTCATAAAAACAATATATTTTGCAAAACACTATAACTTACCTTTGTTAAAAGAGGTGAGTACTAATTAGTCACTGATTGGATAATCCCTAATTAAGTACTTCACATCCCTCTAATCTGATTAGGTAACATGAACGTTAATCCAGATTTTGTTATTTTTTTCTACCCAAGATAAAAGAAACGGCACTAACTAAATCCATTTAGACCACCCAGAGTTATATTCGAAGAACTTTTAACTAACTTTTAACTATGTGGAAGAACAGTTTTTAATATGTAAATAATCCACGGGTTCAACTTTGTGGTTTTTACTCCGAGCACTTCGCTTTTCACGTGGCTAAGTGGGTAAGACGCTAGCTCGCTAGTCTGGAGGTCGGGTGTTCGATCCCTGCATTGGCCGAGAAAGTTCACCCAGATTTTCCGGCGTGCTTCTCCCTTGTCAGTGATGCAGGACGGAGGGGCTGACAAGGAAAACTGTCTAGTCGTTCGGATGGGACGAAAAACCGAGGTCCCGTGTACACATTGGCGTGCACGTAAAAGATCCCTTGACAGTTGGAATTCGATATAAGAGTAGGCAGTAGTGCCGCTGTCCGGGCAAAATTTCCCTCATAGCACACTGTATGGCGTATGCCCGTCTTCATTAGCCCAGGTTAGGAGCAGAACAGTAGGACGTTAAACCCCGTTTCATTTCATTTCATTTCGCTTTTCCACATAAAGCAAGCGGGTTCTTTTTCCCCAGCTGGACCTCTTGTTATGACCCGCCCTCATACGACGGCGATTTTATATGTGTGTTTTAAGGTGACTTTTTGATTAACAAGGATATTTTTATTTTTGTGTTTTTACCAATTTTCAACCCTTTAAGTGTAAATAATTTAATTAAATCAACCTGTCCATAATATCATTATTTATTGTATTAGCAGAAGATCAACCACTTTACAGCGGAGGAAACCCAGAAAACTTGATCAGTGTTTCTAACCAAATAAGGTAAAAAACAAAACCGAAAGAGCCCAAATTTTGCACAAAGGAGACATTACCCACAACACCGGCCATGGTGAATTGACGAAATCTCGCGTTCATTTTAAAACGAGATGATGGTTTATTTTTAGCGACATTGACAGGCACCGCGTGCTAGGGTTAGGGTTAGGGTTGGTCCAAAAATTCTGACGTCATGTGCAATTCAAAGTGATTGACCGCGTGAGGAATGTCTCCCGGCAACCAAGCTTGTATTTGTAAGTATGTTTAGTTTGTGTTTGTAAATAATATGTTTGTATTTGTAAATATAAATATTTACAAATTTATATTTACAAATACAAACATATTATTTACAAACACAAACATACTTAAAATTAAAAACATATTTACAAATACAAACAAATTTATACTTACAAATACAAACAAATTTATATTTACAAATACATATTTATATTTACAAATACATATTTATATTTACAAATACATATTTATATTTACAAATACATATTTATATTTACAAATTTATTTTATAAAATAAATTTGTAAATATAAATTTGTATATATAGGCGAATGAAGATGCTATTCCTGATGAATTCCTGATGTAAAAGTGGAAGGAGAAAAACATTTGACGTTTGCTACCACCAAAAAATTACATGTATTTATGTATTGAAATAATATATCTATGTTAGATATGTATTAAATAGATGTCTATGTAAATTATGTATGTTAGTGTATTATGTATAGATGTCTTAGATGTCTATGTAAATTAGGAGCCACGTTGGCTAAGTGAGTAAGACGCTGGCTCGCCACCCCGGAGGTCGCTGGTTCGTTCCCGTTGTTGGCCGAGAAAGTTCATCGGGATTTACCGTCGTGGTTTACACTTGTCAGTGGTGCAGGGCAAGGACACGAGACAGCTGCCTAGTCGTTTGGATAGGACGAAAAACCGAAGTCCCGTGTACACATTGGCATGCATGTAAAAGATCCCTTGACAGTTGGATATCGACATAAGAGTAGGCCGCTGTCCGGGAAAATATCCGGCATAGAACACTGCATGGCGTATGCCCGTCTTCATTAGCACAGTCGGAGGAGAACAGTAGGATGTTAAACCCCATTTCATTTCATTTCTATGTAAATTATGTATTAAATAAATGTCTATTTAAATATTATCTATTATGAAATGTAGGTATTTATATTGTGCCATATTTATGTTAATAAATATTATTTAATACATAATATAACATTTTTATTCGGCCGTTGTGACTAAAATGTTTGGCCGTTATGACCAAATATTTTGGCCGTTATAACCAAAATTCTTTGGCCGTTTTGGTTTGGGGCCGTTATGAGTCGAATGAATTAATAAACGGGTAGGCCCTATAAAGAAATAAATAAACGAAGGAAAGAATAACTAATACAGCAACATAGAATTATAAGATGTTCCCCATTAGTGCGATAGGAAGATTGAGGTGTATAATATTATCATGTAGATTACCTCCGTGGATAGAATATATCTATTGTGACGTCATACAAGCACCTGTCAATACGTCATAGAATGAGTGCATGCATAGTGTTGTCGAGTTGCGTGTCGACAGTAATTTGTCGTCTGTTGTTTCCCCACAGAGGACGGATGCGAATATTTCAATCGCGGGGATGGGTTATAATTTATATTCGAACAAGCATTACAATTTTGAGAAGCCTAACTGAAGATAGTTTTAAGAAAGCTAGCTGGTGTCCTCGAGACGCAAAGTTAAAACTTTTTACACCTTTGTGACCTTTATACTTTATTGAATACTTTTTGTTGCTATAGCCTACTCGTCATGTTCCTGGTTCTGTCAGAGCGGCGAAGGCATGGACATATGAAATGATAATATCATAAGTCCATGCTTTCGCCGCTCTGAGTGATATATGTACCTCAATGGGCGAAAATTCAGTCACAAAATGATTTGACGGGATAATGGCAAATTATGTTGCCTACGTATAGCGATATCTGGAGATGGGTTCATTTGATTTCTAAAATGACGAAACAGTAATATAGACACGACGTACATTAATTACGACGAATACACTATTCATAACTTTATCATTACTTTTGAGTGTCGCGGGAAATCCTTTGACGTCAGAGTTACTGGAGAGACATGCCTCTGAATGAATAATAAATATAAAGCCAATCACTGGAAAGCCTCGACTTGGTCACGTGACACAGTACAAGAGGGGTATCTCAAACAGTGTAGACCTTCTAGGTGAGTTATTTGCTAATCTTCGATAGTTTTCCATTGATTTGGAGTACCATACAAACTAAACTACAACTTGCATTTTTTTCTGTTCATATTTTGAAAAGGTAGGGGTGTTGACGAGCTGAAGCTAAGAGGTTACCGGCTAAGATGGTAGGCACCATTTTCAATCATGGCTGCTGCCTTTTCCTACGAAACATGTTTGACAAGCACCTGTTCAGGCGTTTTCTTTTCTTGTTCTTGTTAATGAGGTAGACTAAGTAGTCTGGTTATAATGCTAATGCATGTAAAAATAATACACATAAACAACTTATGCTTACGCTTACAAATGAATGGAATGATTGTGCCTGTAAAATCCCCGTTTGGTATTTAATAATATCGGTGTGGCGGTTAATGTATGCCGCTATACTCCCAGCGCTAGATCTGTCAGGATCGTGCCAAAATAAATCAGATCTGGTGGTCATCATATATCTAGCAATGGGTAATTGGTATTCAATACAATTATTACAGAGTTTCTTCCTTTCCACAGATATGTACCCTGTGTAATTTGTACAAAATTAATATAATCTTTTCAAGAATTAGTAATCCCAGGAAAATAATCATTGATTTTTTGTAAACACTCGCGCATCAATAATACTATGCTGAACATAATGCTAACTGAGTCTACTCACTGATGCTATTCATTGAATATAAGTCTGAATAAATTTGTTAAATTGACATTGCCTTGATGTAAGAATGATATGGCTTTACGATCATTTCTGTCAAATTTAGCCAAAAATATTCCCTTACGATTTAATAAAAACTGTTCACCTAGCTTAGTAGCTACTGCAGTTCTTAGCATGTGATGTAAAAAGGGCTGGAGGCACAATTCTTCAATAATGATATGAAATAAAAGATATTACTACCTCAAATATTTAGTGAAAATGTCACAAAAGATTCTTACAATTTCTTCTATTGGCTAAAAATGATATAACTGTACATTTCATTTGACTTATATTAAAATAGAGATTGATATTACATATATTAATGTAAGATAAGTAGTTGGGTAGATTGTTTTGTAATAGTAAAAGAAAAATGTGTAGACTACACATGTAACGGTCACTAAAGGAGCTAAATCGCTAGTCTTTGGCACCTAGAAATGGACACAAATGGGTCGTAATGCATATAATGTAATATGCATGTATATACATGTAAACTGATTTAAATTCAGTCGTTTTTGTTTTTACTGTAATTTCTAATCAGTTATGTTCAACGAAATAGTCAAAGAGTACAAATTGATTGGCAGTCTTTGGCGGCTGGCTATTCCAGTCTCAACCGGTAGTATTCTTCTGCGGGATGTTTTAAGCCTTGTTCCTCGTGTCGCTTTATTACAAATGGAGGTCAAATGCATTCTGGCACGCGATTTGTGTGCCAATTTAAAAATTTTCATTGTGTCTTGAATATTGGACGTCAGAAGCCCATCTTTTCACGGTAAGATAACAATATCAGTGTTGATTTAAACTGACCAATAAGTCGTGTTTGCAATGTCGAAGACTGTGGATGATATAGAGTTAAAGATTTGCCTCCTTTAATTCCAGTTCCAGTACATGTACCATAATTTGTGGTATAATTTACCGCCTATAGAAAAAGAGAACCTAATGTTAGTCTCAAAATGTCAGGTCTTGTGTGGACAAAATTTTAAACTCCATTCCTATGCTATCTAACACACTTTCCAAGACAAGTCTTAATTTAGTCTAATTTCCAAATGAATTCCTTCTATTTGTATTTTCAATAGATACATTGTGAATTGTCAATATACATGTATACAATCATACATTGTTAATTGTGAATACATTTAGATACATTGTGAATTGTAACCTATACTACTGAAAATCAAAGATGTACAATGTCTCCTTTAGGAAAATTATAGCTGTATAAAATTAAAGAATAAGTTTGGATCCAAACATTTGAGAGGGTAATTTCATTTATGAGCCTCATGTGTTTTAAAGTTCTGAATATATTTCATACAACACTAGAATCTCGTCACAAACCATTTTTCCAATTATATGGATAACTCTTGTTTAATTCCATGTTCATTTTACCATCACAAATTGATTTGTTAAAAAAAACCAACGGACATACTAATGATATTCAACAGATGATATTGTGCTTTTCTAGAGCAAATTATACTGCTTGAGCTTGATAATTACAAACAGATATTAAAGAATTGAATTATGATGTTGATGAGTGCAGTCATTTTCACGCTAAACATGACGTCACTGTCTGCTTGTTGCTCAGCTTGAATTTGTGTACCGTAACACATATACCTGTATAAAAGTGTTGAATTCATTATATTAACTGTCAAAAATACTGGATAAAACCTTAGACCTTAAAAAGATGTAAACTTACAGACAGTTTGGAGTAATTAAAATTAATTGTTTCTCATCATGGTCTGTCTTGTGTTTGAAATTATTTTTATCTGCCATGTATTCTTAGTGACTATGATTACACATAAAACATTCTGGTTGGCGGTTTCGCAGAAGTACCTTGTGTTTTGTAATTTTAGCACATTGTAAACTATGAAATAAAATAGCAACTTTCTCTTTACTCATTCTCCAGTCCCCCACTGATGAAAGTCATATCATAGAGGTCACTAGTATCCAAAAATAATTGTCCCCTATTAAAATGGGTTTGTCCATCTGTCTGTCCATCCGTCTGTCTGTCCGTCACACTTGGTGTAGGTGTTTATTAGGTCAATACCTTGATGAGAGTTTGAAGATGAACATTTTCTGCTTAGGGTAAGCAGAGATAAGCAATTTGAATGGTTGATGCTTTGGGACACAATAACTTTAGTTCTAATTGAACATTTTCTGCTTAGGGTAAGCAGAGATAAGCAATTTGATTGGTTGATGCTTTGGGACACAATTATTTAGTTCTAATTGAGTTAGAATGTTCACACTTGGCGTAGGTGTCTATTAGGTGAATGCTTTGATGGAGTTCGAAGATGAGAATTTTCTGCTTAGGGTAAGCGGAGATAAGCAATTTGATTAGTTGATGCTTTGGGACACGATAACTTTGGTTCTAATTAAGTGAGAGTGACGACACTTGGTGTATAGCATTATTACATCAATACCTTGACTAAGTTCGATAATGAACATTTTCTGCAAAGGGTAAGCAGAGCGATAAGCAATTTGATTGGTCGAGACTTTGGAACAATAACTCTCCTTCTAATTGGGGTAGAATGTTCAAACTTGGTGTAGGCGTTCATTAGGTGAATGCCTTGATAGAGTTTGATGATGAAAATGATGTAGATGTTCATTAGGTGAATGTCTTGACTGAGTTCAATGATTAACATTTCGAGCTAAAGCTAAGCAAAGCTAATCAATTTCATTGGTCGATGCTTTAGGACCAGATAATCTTGATTCTATCTGATAGAGAGTGATGAAACTTAGTGTATAGTTTGATTGCTCGATATTTTTGAAAAAAATAAATGTGTGATTAATTATTATGTGTCATCTATTTATTTTGGGATTTCGGCGGGGGACATCAACATCACTGTTGGCTTGTTGACTTTAAATTGGGAGATACTAGATACCAAGCTTTTAAATAAATCTTGTATAATAGAAATAGTCAGAAATTAAGTTTCTATCCAAAATAAATTATAAAGTTATTTGAAATGGAAAATCATCATCCTAGATAGTTACAATGTATGTGTACCCTACCATGGCAGTGTATCTGGTTCAAAATGCAATCTATCCAAAATAAATTATAAAGTTATTTGAAATGGAAAATCATCATCCTAGATAGTTACAATGGCAGTGTATCTGGTTCAAAATGCAATCTAGAGTAGAAATTAGAAAAAATTATAAGCAAAAGAGAAAACCTGAAAACTTCCACCTTTTTAACTTTAAATCGACAGAATTCTACTTTCATCGACTAAATTTCTCCTTTTGATGTAAACTTTTAACTTTAATAGACCGTCTACGTCAGATTTTCTACTGCCAAGGTTTTACTGCAGATTTTCTCCCAATGGATTTTCTTTGTCCATGCAACAACTTCAGTTTCTTTCCATTGCATAGGAACTCCTACTTACATGCAAAATATTGAAATAAAATTATGATCCTGTTTTACATGATGTAATATGCCAGTTGGTAAAAGAAATTATTTTGGAGAAAATCTGCGGAACAAAATCTTGAGTAGAAAGTAGAAATTCATTTGATGAAAGTAGAATTACATGTAGGACGATATAAAGTTAAACAGGTGTCAATTTTTTCAGAATGAATCCATAAAGTTTCCTCCAGTGAAATATACCTTTTAGGCCAAACCACTTTAATTTTTAGTTCTTCAGGGGTCTTCATCTATGACTTCACGTGTGCTATATAAATACATGTGTATTTAATTTATGGTTTGTTAAAATTTCAAAATTTAGCTTTTTGAAAGTAAAAGCTTTTGAGAACAACACGAAGTACTTTTTGTTTTTAAATAAGTTTCTTCCAGAAGAAAGTGGAGTTAGAATTTTTACCGGTAATGGGGATTCCCAATGAGCAAAAATTCAAATTAGTGTTGCCTTAGATAATAATTTTCTCTTTTACTTTTGATTTTCTACCACAGATCACATTTTAAACCCAATACCCTGTCATACCATACACCATAGAAATCCCTGAAATATCCACAATTCGCTTCATTAATAATCAAACAATGCACAATACTTGACATGAATATAGTTATATTAACTTTTAATTTGTTTTTTATGTAAATATGAATTAATGTGGATGTAAATTACTGCTTTATCTTTTGTCGTGTGTGTTGCTAGTACTGATGTGTGACGTTGGGGTTGACAACAGTGTCAAGGCTCTACACCTATGACGTCAAATGTCTATTTTTATCCCACATGTAGATCTATTTTAGGCTTACGTTATATTGCCCAACATTTTATTCAAATATTTACACAGTGTGTTTAACCAAGTGATAAGATAAGATATAGACGTAATAGAGTATTGTGAATGAAAGACTTAGACACCAGAACATGTGTTTCTGATTAAATTACTTACTGTACATGGCCATTTTGTACAGAAAGGTATTAGGTACATATCTGTTCTCAGTGACAAAGTATAATGATTTAATTTTTTTGATGTTTAAGACTTTTATTGCAATATGTAAACTAGCATTGTTTTTGCCAAGGCATTTTTTGCCTTCTTGTCCATGATAGATAGTAAACAAATCACTTTGCAGTTGGTAATGAATCTTTTATAATTCCCTCTTCATTAGCCCAATCGGTGCGGAACAGTACATGTACATGTAGGTCGTTCAACCCCATTTCATTTCTATTATAATTAAAATTGTGTATGGTTTATTATAGTTCTTACTGAGAATTGAGATAAAAAACTGATCTGTCCAAAGCATTTCTGTATGTTATAGGGCTTCCCTGTCATCATAGATCAGAGATTTACGCTCTGATTGGTGGAAATGCCTACCTGTATTAATTCTGATTTTATCTTGACCGTTATTGGCTGCCCAAGTTACTCCCGCTTGATTTGTGTAACTTCATTAACACTTGAAGTTGCCATTTTTAAATGGATTTTTGTGCAAAATTATAAGGTTATTCAGTTTATTAAATGAAATATGCTTATTGATTTTAAATCGTTTCTGACAAGTACTCCCACAGATCTTCCCTTGATTTACCTAACCCTGTAACATTCTTTCAGGCACAATCATCATTGCACTTTTTATTGATAAGCTTTTTGAAAAGAAGACACCTGACAATTATTGCTGTTCTTATAGTTATTCCTCTTGATTACTGAGACCAGGATCATCATTTGTATTACCCTTGCATTAAAGATATTCTACGAAGAAAATTAGACTTTATTTCCCAGTAACTAATCAGAAGTGGTGTCAAGGGTTAGTGTGGCAACTTTAACCCTTGTCTCAGGATGGTGACTAACACTGTTAATGGTGTTTCTATAACACTAACTGGGTACATGGATCTCCAAATATTCAAAAACTTATAGCCAGAAGCACTCAGTAATGATCATTATTTATGGAGGAAGCGATTTTACATAAGCAGCAAAGCTTGTTATTGTATCTATATATAGTATGTTAAATATATCTTTGACTCACTCAGAAATAAAATATTGTTTAAACTAACTATCCTTTCAAATTTTTATGATTTATTTTCAGATCTAGAAAATTATGAGGGAATACTAGACTTCAGATCATCTTGTAGGACGTGGTGTCCATTTCCTTTTTATCAATTCAATAATTTGACCAGAAATTTATGATTGTAGTTTATTTATTAAACCACAAGATCGAAGGTGAGTCAGTGGAATTTTTATCATAAAATAATCTTTTTTGACATAAATGTGCAAATAGTCTAGAAAACATCAACATTGTAACATCTATATCAGCTGATTTGTGGAAGATGAAATTTGACCACTTAAAACCGGTTAAGAAAGGAGTCGTATTCAAGTTGTTAGGTTCAGTAACATCAATAATACAATAGATATTCCAAAATTCTATAGGGAAATTTTGCTATTGATAAGTGAGCATGGTTCAAATAAGAGGAAATCACCTGTTAAATGTAAACACAAGCCGCGCCTTGAAAGTTGATGGATTGGCGCTGCGCCGCGCTTGCAGCGCACCCACAAATTAAAGCTTAATTTTATTAACATTGATCTTTGTTTTCAAAATAGTACATGTATGCGACATCGTTCCCAATAAGATGAATTCTCCCCACAAAGCCCAGGTTGATTTTCGATGTCACCATCACATCACTGTTCATTTATTCAGGTCCAAAATTATCCTTGAGACATGGAATTATCAATTTAAAGAATACCTAGATGCACATTTCTACATTTTTATTTGAGAATTTTGCCAGAACTTTTTAAAAACATTGACAGTTACATGTATGTTTAAAATAATTAAAAAGAATATAAAACCAAAAACATTTTCAAAATAATGCTTTTGTCAGATCGTAAGCCTTCAACATGGCATTGTCTCGGATAGAAATTTGGCAGTGTTAAATAGTTCCCGCAAAATATGTGGCGAAATACATTTGATCACTCCAGCGTGATTTTTAGATCTCGAGGCATTCTACGATCTTCCATTCCAGAGTAACCTCTGCTTTGCCAAAAATCTTTAAACAGTTTTTGATCATGATTAGTAAAATGAAAAAGCCTGTTGATTTCAACCATTCTGTAAATTACTTCCAGAGTTAAGGCACTTGTTTCAGTTTGTAGTACCTTGTGAACACTCAAATCACGAAAATTATAATGTCAAATGTTAGCAGAACTCCATCCATAATACTTGATGTTGGCAATTGGCATACCTTTGATGTTCAACAATCTTGGTGCTTTGGAAATGCCAATGCATGATGTTACTAGATTCCATTTTCTGGCCATCAACATGGTATCTTTTTGTTGCTGCATTAAACTATGTTACTTGAACATAAGGAATTCCTAAAGGCCATTTTACACGATCCTACTTTTGTTCAAGAACATCATCCAACATTTGTAGGATGATGTTCGCAGGAAAATGTCCTATCGTGTGTATGGGAATTTGAACAACTGTGAACAAACTTGGACAAGCTTGAACAGGTTGGATGGTGTTTGAGCATGCACATTAATTTGAACATGGTAGGACAGTGTTCAAGGCCTTGAACCAATGAGAATGCTTCTCTGGGTCACGTGGTGTATTGGGTCACATGACAATTACTTTCTCATTTGTAGCAATGTAATTAATTACCATTACCCATTACTTTTTATATGCCCACATTTGCCAACAGTTATCCCTGTGTAGTCTCGGTTAAAGTCTCTAACTCAATATCATCCAAAATCTTCAACATTGAAAACACAAATTATTTATCAATTTAAATCAACATTCATGTTGTGATCTTACCGAGAAAAGATGGGCGCCTGATGTCCAATATTTAAGACAAAATAAACATTTTACCATTGGTACAGTAATGCATTTCAGCGCCATTTGTAACAAGGGACTTAAAGAACGAGGCTAGACATATTCCTCAAGTCATGTCAACAAACGGTAACGCCGTATTTTTCAGGCCTTCACGTAAAAGGAGCGCGATCTTTCTCGCTCTCCTGGACGCGCCTGGATGTCAGTCGAGGTGCACTTTTTATAGCTCTCCTCAATGTCTAATTTGACTCCCCTCAAAGAAAATAACCAGGAAAAATATACTGGTAACGAAAAATACTGTCAATATCATATTGACAATCAACTTGCTTGCCGGCTACAATAACAGCATACCTTAGTGAGAATCCGCCATCCGTTTCATAATCCAAGTAATTAGCACATTTAACGGCAATTTTGATAATTCGGCAAAAAAAAACCCAACAAGCCTGCTGGTTATTCATAACAGGTCCACTAAGTTTCCTTTGTAATAATAAACCACGTGGCGAAGGAAGACATCTCGCTCCGCATGGATTGTGAATCTCGTGCTTCGCGCCCCGTTTTCGACTCTCGATCCGTACGAATTCTAGGTAGATTTGAAAATAATAATTGGATAATGCATTTTATGGTTTCACTGACCTGTTGTTAGTTAAATTTAAATATTCATTGAATAATCCCTGATAGAACACCGGATATCCCGAGAAACAAATATTAATAACTAATATATTTTTCCGTCAAGATCTTCAATGCTTTCAGATTCCCGATAACACGTGACATGCATTGGCTGGAATTAGGTCAATAAACCAGCATTGCAAGATTTATTTTTAAATAGTGTTATAGTTTTATTCAATTTTATTTTTTACACATGCTGACAGGGATTTATTCTTAAAAATATTGCCCTTTTTATTTAAGGCCATGGCATAGTCGTACGGAATTTTATTTTATATAAAGCAATTTCAATCATGGGAGTCACGTGATCATTGTGTGGCTTGTCTTTCATCCACGAATGAAAAAAATATTGTAAGTTACGTGATAGACAAAAACATTAATTTGTGTTTTAAATATGAAGAAATGTCATGCTGTCGCATCAGCTTATTTTCGCCGTAGTTGATAAATCCTAATTTCGATCGACTGATGATAAACGAAGACAGTAGTCTATTCAGGAATATTACTGACTTGAACTTGTTGAAGTCAGATATTAAAGTTAACGGGAGCTTCGAATTCAGTCATTGTTTTTTGAGGCGCGCGATCGCTCTCGAGCGCCTGTCGCGCACCCGAATGTCGACCGAGGGGAGGTTTTTCTCCCTCGCCTTAAAATTGAAAATCGCTCTCCATATCTGTAAATCATGGACATGTATTTGGTTTTTTTTTTTCAAAAGAGTGTGAAAGACTTACATTCCGAGTGCCACCATGCTGTCATTGTGAAGATTTATTTGGTGTATTTGATTAGTATAATGTGATCGCACAAGTTAATAAAATTCCGATGAATATGTTGCTAAAAATAGATGGCGCCTGTGCACCATTGGTTAATTTAACTGAAATGAAAAGTAGGACTCTCGCAAGATGTGAGAAATTACGAGAGATGGCACGTGAAAATTTCTAATGAGAATAATTCTGGAAGAAATAGATTATATTTTGCAATCTCCCAAACAGAGTTGTCTTCCCTTGCAGTCCACACTAGCCTCTGCTAACGGCTCATGATAAACATTACGATTTAAAACAAATAAATGATAATATATTTAATACTATTACAATATTGAAATAGAAATGGTGTCACAATTGCAAAGTAACAATGTATTTACAAATATTACAGGGAACTCTTTTGCGTAAGATTACGGGGTATAATGGTCGGAAATACGAACTGCGCATGTCGCCGTGCAAATTTTAGAATATAAGACTCAATGACATAGATTAATACACGTGGGTTTGTTTATCTGTAGGCCTACTAAGCGATCGACAGGCCCAACAATTAATTTAGAAATGTCTGTGGTTAATCCAAATCAAAGAATTCTCGACATGTTTGAAATATGATAGAAAAATCACTTTGCGGGATAAACATTTCGAATTGACTAAAATCATAAAGTGTTTATAACGCCAAGAACATTTCGCTAGCAGGCGCCATTTTTGATCAAGTAGTAAATCACGTGATCGATGACCTCCGGGTCAAACCTTTATATACTATTCAAAAAAAGTAGGGGATATTTGATTTTTAAGTGTTATTAAAGTCACCTAATGAAACTGACGAAGAAACAAATGACAAAATGAAATGAAGTTCACATTCATCGATTTATTCCAAATGATCGTTAGACTAAGTAAGGCACAGACTGACCATTATAAGGGTAAAATGATACCCGGGGTCAAACAGCAAAGTTACCACAGCATCACAACCAAGTCAGTAACGGGTAAATCCTCCTCTGTTTGCCAAACAAGCATTGATCCGACGTGGCATACTCCTAATGAGACGTCTAAGGTCATTTTGGTCCAGATTGTCCCATTCCTGTTGCAACGCAGCAGCAAGTTCTTGGACATTGGCAGGACGTTGTTGACGTTGACGTAACCTCTGTCCAAGCATGTCCCAGACATGCTCGATGGGGGAGAGGTCGGGACTCAGTGCTGGCCAAGGTAATGTGGTGATGTTCTGATGTTGGAGGTAACCTGTAACGATCTTGGCCCTGTGACATCTTGCGTTGTCATCCTGGAAGATGAAACGGCGGCCATGACGTCGTGCGAACGGCACAACATGGACTGCCAAGATGTTGTCCCGGTAGTACTGGCCTGTAACACGCCCTGCAACAACATGTAAAGCCGTTCTTCCAGCAACAGTGATGCCTCCCCACACCATAACAGAACCACCCCCAAATCGATCATGTCTGATGACGTTAACGTCTTGGAAGCGCTCGTTTCGACGACGCCACACCCTCCTACGTCTGTCCAAAAAATCAACAGTGAACCTTGACTCATCTGAAAACATCACATTGCTCCAGCGTCGATTATCCCAGTGTTGACGATCCCTACACCAACGACGTCTTGCCTGAATGTGATGATCTCTCAAACAAGGGATCACGCGAGGACGTCGGGCGCGAAGGTGACCCCTATGCAGTCGATTCCGAATCGTCTGGCCACTCACTCTCACACCAGTGTCTGTTTGAAGACGAGCGCTGATCTGATTTGCTGTGATGACACGATTTCTCAAGGCCAAGGTACGGATAAATCGATCCTGGCCTTTAGTTGTCGCCCTTGGTCGACCTGAGCGTGGTCTGTCCTGTACAGATTGTGTATCACGGTATCTGGACCATAGCCTGCTTATGACAGACTGAGAAACATTCATCGTCCGCGCCACAACTGCCTGTGTTGTGCCGATCTGTAGCATGCCAAGGGCACGTAACCTTTCATTTTGGGTAAGCCGACG